AAACTAAATGACTTGTTTTTCACCTACATAACAACAAATAGTACTTTAGATTATTCTCGCTCTTTGCTTAAACTTAATTACGTTTAGTTTTGCTAAACAAACATATTAGCATTTTATGGTCCTTGTATGTGATTGTTTCGATGTTTGATTAAGTTAATTTAATTATGCCAATAATGTAATTAGAATAATAAATATCTTATTTCTCCTGATACAGCTAGTTTACCACTGTCAAAAAAGTCAATGTACTCCATTCTCTCCCAATTGTTATTTGTTAATACTCAATTAGAAAATTTTATCAACACTTTAACAAAGATGCAAGATATGCATGCAACTTTTCCTTTTATCGGTTTTTAAGGGGTTGTTTGTTTGATGGAAATTGAAGGTGTGGTGGTATTATTGGGTGATTTTAACCTAACTCTACTATTTCGCATGTTTATTTTCATTCAAGGAATGTGAAAGAACCTTCTAATTCATCCTACTCCCACTAGCTTCTCACCATTGTATTACATAAGGTTATTTCGAGTTAAAGACGGAGTTAGGATGGGGTAAGGAAAAGTCTAAAATGCCATTAACGAGAAAGGATGAGGAAGAGAAACATCGTGTTAATGAGTGTATTTATGTAAATTGTTATTTAATCCCAACATACACCTTCTAAATTTATCAATTACCCGTCTCAATCCTACAAGTCCCAAAACCAACACCCGTTCCTACATTTTATGGCCCTTAATGATATATATCGAAGATTTTTATACTTATTACTTTTATAATATTTTTGTCGATGTTGAATATTATTATAGTACTATTCTATCGTAAGCCAATACGTGATACAAGCTAGTATTATATGTCAAACCTAAGCTAATCTATATATATATTTTTTATGATGCATGGTTTATGTGAATAAAGTGACACTATTGATAATCATAACAATTATATAGTAAAGTTGGCAAAGAATACAAAAGCTAGGGAAAACAATAGTAGCTACATAAAAATCTCCTGATGATGAAAAAAAGATTGTCAACGGAGATAGAGAAAAGAGGAGGACGTAGAATGTTATTGAGAGTTCCACTAATAAAGAAAATGATCATGGCATTTTTAGAATTGGTCTTGCACGATTGGCTATCTTGTAGAATGAACTTTTACTTTACAGCAATGATCCTAGTAGACAATAGATAAGCAAACCTCTAAAATAAAGTGTCTTCAATTCCCAAGTTTCGTCTATTCCAACTAGATGTCTTATAGGTTACACAATTATTTCTATTGGCATAATTTTATGGGATATATATCCTTGTACTTTTGCAACGTATATATGATGATAAAGCCTTTTTATATATATATTCTGAAAAAAGTTATGTACCTAAAATGCTTAAGTTTTAAAAACATTACTTAGTACGTGATAGAGATTTATCAAACCTACTAATTAACCCATTTGTTTTGTTGTTATCAATAAAACCTACGTAGTACAACATCATTTGATCCGAGTTAGGCTTTGTAATTGAATGGTCATGGGAATGAGAGAGTTTTCTTTTAACCTAGAGTTTGGTTTATGGGAGTTCAATCCATGCAATAAGGTACATTACCAATACAAAACACGAGTAATGTATGTTAAAAGAGCTAAACTAGTCCAATTCTATCATAAAAAAGCAAACTTTTTTATTGGGTTGTTCTTCATTTACCCCAGGATGGTTAAATAGATTGAGACATATAGGGGATTTTTTTTCTCAAAATTTATGTTATGTTGGATAATGGTTTTTAGAACTTTGTTGAGGATGATTTCTACTTTGGCTCTAAGACTTCTAGAGAGGTGACAATAAACATTGATGTTGCAAGTTCAAACTACAATATTACCACACAAATTAAATGTTTTAAATTGGTTCTAAAGTTTATCATTGTATCTTGACTTTGTCGACGATTGATAAAATTTTACAAGATTGTATTCTTTTACCTAATTTATAGACGATACCTTAAAGAGCATAATTACATTAATATTGTGTTACTCTTATGTAGTACAATAGTATTTACTCGATTCCAAGTAGAGTGTTAATCCCCCTAACATCCAAGCATCAAATAATATAAAATTTGGTCGTTATCTACACTATTAAACCATCCAATAATTTTGTAGAACAAACTAAAGTTGCCAAATGAATAGATTGGCAATCATAGAAAAGGTTAAAAACTAGATACTTTAATTTGTCATCTGACATCAAACTTTCAACCAGAATAGTTACAATGCAAAGATATCATTATTTTGATGCTTGATTATTTATAAATACAAGTGATCCAAGTGTATATTATTGTTTAAAGTTTGATGGTGCTTATTGTCTTTTTAAAGGAAGAAATTCACAAAGCATGTATAAGAATACTTTAGCTTCATAAGTTGGACCTTTTATATATGGATATCAATACTTGTCCAACACATTGTGGACACGTAGTTATATAAATAGAAATCATAGATTATTTCTATATATTAAAAGTTTATACTACGTATAATAAAGACAACCACACATAATATTGACTACTTGTTCTGAGACATGATATAAGGCTTGTATAATAGCGTTTTCAATTCCTAGTCTTCATCAATCTTATAATTTATATATTTGGGTTCACCTTGTACAGATTTATATGCTCTCCACTACAACCTTGTATTCTAATTTCTATGGCTCCTAGGAACCTAAGGAAAAAAAATTGTATAATATTTTTTTTTCTTCCAATTAATTAAACTAAAGGCGAAATTATGCTAGATAATATACTTAATCACTACTTGTATGGAGTATAAGAGATGACCAATATAGAATCTCGCATATGTTCAAAGTCTTCAAACCCTTATTTTATTTTATTTTATTTTATCGTTAGCTCAAATCCATTGCTATGTTTGTAAATGGCAATTGCTCCGTTAACTATTAATTGCTCGGTTAACTATTAATTGTTAAAATTAGTTGCATTGATATATTTGCCAAACACTGACTTATTCATTCTCTTTATCGATTATATTTCATAATTCGTAATTTTATTTTTTTCTTAAAAAAAAAATTACGAATTATGACCTATAGTCTTAACTAACAAGACGTCTTAAAATATTGTAATTCATATATACGACTCCTTTATAATTCGAGTATAAGTAAATGTTGTCTCCTAATCTAACACTCCGTTAGACCACTGAGTACATTCAAGTACAACAAAAAAATGCTCTAACTAGTTACTACCAAGAGTAGTCACGTTTGAGATCGAGGCATAATGTTTGTAAGATAAAAAATAAAGTGAACTTAAACAAGAACCCGAAAATTGTAAGGGGCGTTACCATTAAAAAAAGGACCATACAAATCATATAGGAGGCAAAGAATGCTTGACCTCACGGTTAGCGATAAGCCACCGGTAACCCTTTAGGCTTTAGCTTTGTAGAAAGCGGCCCAGCTTATTTATCAAGCAAAACAGTTTGCAACTGTTTTTGTTTAAATATCATGGGAATTCTTATTTATCTCATTTTTCAAATCTAGTACCTTATTATGGAAATCTATGACATTGGCATAAGCATATTTGCCCGACTTAAACAACAGCGTGTTGAATATTTTTGGAGTCAAAATTTTTTAGAATGGAGAATATTCTAGCTTTTATAAGTTTATTAAATCATTTAAATGTAGAATATATCATAAAAATAAAAATAAATAAAATAAAAATAAAGTCACGTTTTTGGGCTTTTTGGCCCATTACCATTTACAAAAATAGATGCCTTTAGTATACATAGTATCTAAAATCTAATCGCCCCAATAGGCCAGTATCATTCATATAAATAATGTATAGTTAATTAAGAAAATGAATATTTCTTAAAAACAAAACAAAAAAAAAATAGAAGATGAATGAATATGCTTCAATTTAGCATCGAATACGGAATACGTCCACTTAATTTTGAACTCAGGCGACTTTTGAACTCTTTTTCCCCTTGAAATGAAGAACATGTTCTTTGGAGCAATTTCTTTGATCCTTTGTGTCTGTTGTTTCATGATACTCTCTTGTTATAGGACAATTCAACTAATATGTTATTGACATTACCCCTCGTTTTTCTTTCGCCCACTGAATTCTATTCTATTCCTAGTACAACTATAAATCTATAATGTTACATGGGTTTGTATGTGTATCTTGCAAGCCCTACTCGTGTCATACATGCGCCAACACATAGATTATATGCCATGCGAATTATACACGTGGCATACACCATAGCATTTATTTTAAATGTTACTAGTTGCATTTAAATAATATGTAACCTCATTAGTTGCATATTAACGAATACTTCACTACATATAAAAAATGTATAATAGCATCATTGTTTACGAGTGATTAATCTTACATTTTATTCACCATTGTTTGCTACGAATACTTCACCACATAAAAATATTATCTAATATCACTAGTTGCATATTAAAGAGATCCCCAAATAGAAGTGACTAGCACCAAAACAAAACTTTACCAAAGTCCACAAATGAAGAAGCAAGGAGATTCGATCCACATTGTACTTGAAAATTAGCTAACATTAATGGTTGATGAAATCAAATAGTTAGCATATATTAAATTGAAAATTAGTCAAAAAGTTAAGTAAATCAAAAGATGGCACTAAACTAAAAGATATTAAAAGACCTTGGAAGTTACTAAGAAAATGTATATAAAACTCAATAAATGATAAGTTAGCTAGTTTAAACTAAGACACCGTTTTTTTTCACGGACTATATTTTTCGTAAAAAATGAATTACAATGGAAAATATTTTTCAAGGGAACACATATTTGTAAGAAAAAAATGGATGGGAGGAGAAATTTTCGGAGTAGAGAGGAAAATATAACATTTTTTTTTCTTTCGACAGGATATTGTTTTCTACTTTTCGGAGAACTACTCTTCATTACACCATTTAAAAGGAAAACAGTACAAATGAAAAAAGTCATGTTCGTAAATAACGTTTTCCTTCAAAACAAATAAAGCCTAACTATCCAACCCTCAGTCTCATAAACAAAATGTGTTTTTTTTTTTTTTTTTTTTTTTTTTTTTTTTTTTTTTTACTTTGTAAGACCCTGCAGTTAGGCATTGATGAGACTGACTGAGGGTTGGATAGGGCCATAGGGGGAGAACAACTGGATATTCGCGACGCGACAGTTAATCTTGAGATACAGGCCTTTCAAGAGTAATCCTAAACAATACCACAGCAAACGATTATCTGCCAATTGAATAAATTACGACATCCTTTTTTCTATAAAGGTCTTGCATATGGAGATTAGTCGGATACATTACAACACCAACAAATGATGCAGAATCAGTTGCTTTACTATTTGCTAAACTCTGCCTATCGAACTATTCCTATGTGTATATGTTTTCTATATTGTCGGTCTCATTCTAACAGGGGCCACTATAAAAGAACACTGATGTATAACTATAAGTATAAATTCCTGTCAGCTTGCAGTTTCATGGATGGTTATTTCGCTAGACATAGAGTTTATTTCACATGCTATGACAGCCCTTGAGGTGGCACGAGTTTTAAGTATCATTTCTTCATACTCATCCTCGGGTTTTGACAAAGCAACGATTGCACCTCCAGCACCAATCGAAGCTTCACCCTCATGGATAACAACTGTCCTTATCACAATGTTTAAGTCGAATGTCCCATTAACTGAGAAATAACCAATAGAACCAGAATAAATACCTCTAGAACAGCTCTCAAGAGAATCAAGAATCTCCATGGATCTCAACTTCGGAGCACCTGTCATGGATCCACCAGGAAACGCAGATCTGACACAATTGATAGGACTTGCATCTTCATGTTTCTTCCCTCTAATTGTACTCACCATTGTATGAACAGTAGCATAAGTCTCCACATCCATGAGATGGGGCACATGAACAGAACCAGGATCACAAACCTGTCCAAGGTCGTTTCTGAGCAGATCAACTATCATCAAATTTTCAGCCTGATCCTTCTCACTGTCATAGGTTATAAAAAGAGTTATAAACAGAGGAATACGAAGAACAGTATAGACTTTTTGGCTCAAGATCAGGGTCTTTTCTAAATTGTTCCTTTTTAATTTAGGTCAACAGAGTTGTTAAAGCACAGGAATATATTGTTTTTGAAGGAATGCAAAGATATACAAGCGTGTGGAAGCACTACATACTCACAAATACAGTAAAAAGGGAAGCCAATTTTAAATTTCATATAATCAGAGTAATGGTTCAAATATACCTGTACTGAAGCTGCAATTTAAGCTGTTCATCACTTTCTGGCGTTGAACCTCGAGCGACGGTACCTTTAATTGGCTTTGCTTCCAGGATACCATCTCTATCCAATTGCAGAAATCTTTCTGGAGAAGAACAGCAGATGCATAATTTCTCTTTTGGGAAGTTCAGCCATGCAGAATACGGTGCAGGATTCTGTTCTCTGAGTCTGAGGTATAGATTTAGAGGATCTACCTCTTCAACATTTTTCCTCAGCTGAGTTGTGAGACACAACTCATAGCTTTCGCCATCTTTGATGTACCTAAGGCACTTCTCAACATCTTGTATGTACTGATCTCTCGATTTTTCGGAGGTGAAGCCAGCTTTAAGTGGAGAGAACATCGGAGGCCAGGTTTGTTGCTCATTGTTAATATCTGCAACACTAAATTCCAAGCTAAGAAGCTTCAGCTGTATATCATCTAGCCATGACGATTCAGTTGAACTTTTGTCCCATAATGACACAGCATAAACATCACCATTGTGATGATCTATTGCCAAAAAGTTATCTACAAAGAAAAGGCAGGCATCTGGAGCAGAAGATTTGTGTGAATTAGATGCAGAACCACACTCAACTTTAAGATTATACCTGCAAATTGGTAACAGTTTGGGATACTTGAATAACAGATATAGAGGCATAATGTGATTAGAATGACTTAACGTTCATTTTTCAAGACTAATCTAACATACCCAATGTAACCAACATATCCACCGCAAAAGTTAAAAGGTAGCCCTTGATAATCTTCATCATCACAATGAATTGATAAGAGATCCTGTAGTTTGGAAACCAAACCCATATATCATATACAGCTGATACAGAAGATTAAATACTGCTACGAAATGGAAATATTAATTGTGTATTCAAGGTTCGATCAAAATAAACATTGCAGAAGAGGCAGTCCCATTACAATTATGTACTCCATATTACAAGTTCAAATATAGAGTGAACCTTATATGACACAGTGACATACCAATGTCAACTGACTCCGGAGCCAATATCTAATACATTAATGAGTTACGCACTTCTTTGATGTAATTGCAAACATTGGAAAATATAAGCTACAGTAAGCTTCTAAATTCTAAAGCAAAGTAGCTCAACAGCTTAACACCCAAAGAATAATAAGTAGAACATATTCCAGCATAAATTCAGGAGGAAAAAAAGCCACACACAGGACAAATACTGTTTTTTATTAAGATTTTTCATTTCCATCAAATCTCAGAGAATGAAGTCATTGGTATCACAGTTTTCATCTCAAAATCTTTATTATATGCACACAGGCATATTATCCTCATTTTTTCATTTAGTATATATTATCTTCTAAAAGTTTTCCACCTAAATCAAGTATGTAATATACCCACAGAAGTTCTGTATATATTATCTTCAACTTCTGATTCTCCAACTGTTGATAGACTCCTATTTTCTCTAACTTTTTCATTTTCCTCCATAAAATTATTATTTGCTGATCAGAAACTAACACCAACTGCTGGCACTCCTAGAGAAAGCAAAAACATGTATGTACCAACAGTTCATGAATTAAATTACGTAACTACTGGAAATATAATAACAGATATACTGAGCTGGATAGTCCAATTTACAAATAAAAGCTCACCTATACTGATCCATAATTTATATATATATACTGCATATTAATCACCATTATAACTAGAAAAATAAAATAAAATCACAATGGGAATTCTCCTTTATGTTGCTTTTACGTGTTTTAAAGAGAAAAAAGTTCATGACAATAGCACAATAAGTAATAAATAGTCTACTTGCTCCCAGCTGAATATATACAAACATTTCTTTCTCTTCTTTAAATGTTTTGTGGGGGGGAGTGGGTAAGGTGGTGAGGCAGGTGTTGGTAGTGGAATTTTCTACCAAAGGAGTCACTTTCCCCAGGAGTCACTACTAGTCTAAAATATATCATGATTCTACTATGCGCATTTAGTATATATCACTCTGTCTCCACTAATCCAGCAACAAGTAATTGGAAGCAGTTGTGCCTGTTTTCCATATCTAAATATCCAAACGGAAATCTTGTGTAGTTAGATAAAGACTGTTCAATAAGCTAGACTAGCACACATACCTTCTCCAAGAAATCAAGAAAACCATTTTCCAAATACATGTTTGTAACATTGCCATGAGCATTTGCAATTGAGAGATGACCTCCATTTCTGAACATACAATTACCACAAAAGAAAACCTTAGATTCTCCAAGAAAGTAAGAGGAAAAAGAAATGAAGAAACAATAAGCTTTAATCTGATAATGGACAATTTAAAACTTTTAATGCATCAGCTGCGATCTCAGAAGAGGAAAGGCAAGTAGAAATATAATTTCATGTCACTGAACAAAATTGCAAAGAGTACTCAAACAGTATTTCATAGACCACGTTTATCAAATAGCAAAGCCAAGACTCATTTCAGCACAAAGCTACAAATGGTGGCAAGTAGAAGATTTGGTACAAATAACATAATCATGAAAAGATACATAAGAAACATAGATTAGACCTTTCATCTGACAATTTGAAAGTAAGTTGCTTCCATAGAGATCCACCTTTTGTCCCCATAAAAGAAAAGCGAGCTCTTCCCTGACATAGATGCAACAAAATGTTTGTAAAAAAAAAACAAAAACCCAGCACCATACACTACAACGATGAACAGAAATTCAATAGTAAGCGAAGTCATGTAAATAAAGAGATGTGAACTGGGGAGGGAGGATAAAACATTATCAGAGAGCAAGTATAAAAAAATTTAAGCGCTGGTAAAATGTTTGGGGTACAAGAAAGATTTACAAAGAACAACAATATGGTTCACTAATAATGTGTTAAAACCTAGGAAGCTTAAACAGTACACCCAAAACAGAAATGGAATAGGCCTAAACAAAAAACCGTCAGACCATCAGTTTCAGGGGTGTTGCTCCGAACCCCCAATGGGGGCCACAATCTAACAATGTGGATAAAAAAAAATGGAAAACAAAAAAGGGATCTTCACTAAAAAGATTTCCTTTGAAAAATTATCTATAATACATATTTATTTTCATGGAGACTTTGATAGTGTGATATTTCAGAATGTGCACTGACAAATTGCTCATTGTCATTTGAGTATATTCCTTGTTTCTTGAACATTTTATCTGGAAACACCATCATGTAGCATTCTGATTTTGGGTTGCTAAATGACAAAAAATGATGAAATCAATCTTGTTAGTGTTAGTCCTATATTTTCAATTTAATAATTTTTAAATGAACTAATGGATGTTTTCATGAGATTAGGATTGGATCCAAATTTTAAATCAAACTTCGTTATTATATGGAGCAGGGAACCATAATTTAGAAATCTAGTAGGCCATCCATTGCTGAAACATTGTATTGATTTAATTTTCTGCAACTTGACAAGCTTTATATAATGGGAGGAATTATTTTGCATTAACAAGGAGTAAGACCTAAAGCAAATCCAATTAATTTATCAGCATATGCATCATACTAGGCTACTAGCACACACAAACTGACATGGATGCTTAAAAAGACAGAACAAAAAAGTTGTTTACTTTAAAATACAATGAAATATTATTAAAATTTATAATTCTTTTTCAACAAACTCCTCTGTTAACCTAATGATAAAACATATTTCTTCTCAAGTACTGCATATAATATCAACAAAGTGATCAAGTATAGGATCAGATAATCCAACATACCTTTTCTATTGATGAACTGTCAAGCCAAAAGGTTTCTTCAGCGTTGCAATTTCCAAATAGTTTGGAAAATATATTTTTCGAACCACCAACTTTGTTAGCAAGAGAATCAAGTTTATACCACCTTAATTTCAGGTGTTGAACTCTCAAACTCTTTCTCGAAAAACTTAAAAGATTGCTGATACTAGGATGGCTTATGTGATTCTCCTTATTGATAAATGGTCTCCTTGCCAATAACTGGACGGGCTGAACTGTCTGAGGTTTCTGCATGCATGCTAAATAAACTTTACTGCTCAGGTTACAAAGAGTATAAAATAAATTTTGCATAATCAGAAGTTTGCAATGGCTAAATGTGTGCAAGAATTCAACACTCAAGTGTCATTGTAGCCGATGAAATTTAAACGACCAAGCAATTACAGCACTATAGTATCTCATTAGACACTAAGATGGAATGGAAGCTTTAAAAGTTCCAAGGGAGCTACATATAATATCAGGAAAGCCACTATACCATTTAACTTTCTATTAGAAGATGATTGCCCCAATCCTTGCCAATAATCCACAGTTAAGTCTCTGAAATTCATAAACATCTGCCTCCCATAATTGGTTGCAACACTCTCAGGATGAAACTGGAAGTATATATAAGCTCTCATCAGGCAAAAAAGTCATTATCAAGTTATAAAAATGAAAGACATATTAGCATGTTAAGCACCTGCAAGCCATAATGAGGTCTGCTGATATGCCTAATACCCATGAGAACTTTTTCACTATCTACACAGTCTCCATGAAGAGAGGGTAAAGAACTTTCATTTCCAAGATAAGCAGGTGAATACTTTATGCTCATTTGCTGGATTCCCTTGTTAGTATAGGAATCAGGAATCAAGTAAGAAGTATCAAGGAAAGAAAGTGTGTTACTTGAACAGGTCCATGCTGTGGGAACAAGTTCTCTTGGTAATGTGTCCTCATCTATAACAAGAGAATGATAACGAACAACCTGCAGCACCACATCAAAGAGATCAATGATGAGCAACATCTTAGGTGGAAACACATCTTGGATAAGCTATAGCAGCCAAGTGTAATTTTTATGCTACGTTCCACCACTGACACTATTCTAGTTTCAAACCAATTTACATGGCTGTCCAAGTCAAACATATGTATGAAATAATAGAGGGAGTTTTTTTTTTTACTAAACATCAAATAAATGAGAACACAATCTTCATGTAAGATATACTAGATTACTATGCAAGGTAACAAAATCCAAAATTCATTAATAACTTAAGATGATGCAGTAGCATCCATGAAACCTATGGAATACATTGATATGACCCGATTGGTGGGCATGGTGGCTTTTTTGGCTCCAAATGACTATTTGGATGAGTATTCTATTTTGTGACGTGGATTAAATGAATAATGATGATCCTTGTGTCTTGAAATTACAGTTGATGGTTGGACATGGAAACAAAGAAATAAGGGTGAAAAATGAAAGGCTATAACTTGTTCAAAAATGGATTTACTCAACTTCAGCAATATTTTTGGATATGAAAGTAGAGTCTAAGAGTGTTACGTCAGTAGCTCATAAGCCCAATTTGAGCAAGAACGAATAGGTTACAAGCATTTGAAGTTAGGTTGTTCAGGCTAAGTTTACCCAAAGCCCCAAACCTACTTTGGAGTTCGTTCAAACTTTTTGTCAGAAGAAATGAGAAGTTGAGCTTCAGGAAGGTTTGCTCAAACCTCTACATGGTTCAACAGAAAATTTAGACAGGTTCTCCTGAACCTACCTACGGTTCACCCGAACAATTAAGCGGTCACATGTTACTTTTTAGTCTTTGTATTTTGCACTTTTGGACATTTTTATGTTAATTTTAAGCTTAAGATAGTAGGTTTTATAGACACCATATGGGCAATATATAAGGAGAAGAGAAACTTATGCCTCTTTTTAACTTTGGATGAGAATGTTCTCTCTCCTCTATAATCTTGGTGATTTTTACAAATCTAGTGATTTATATTCAATTTAGCCAAAATTGAATGAGAGGCCAAGATTGAGACCCTTGATTACATCAATCTTGGTGGTTAGTTTATCATATTAATACCCTTGTTGCTTTTCTTTTATTTTCCCACACAATTTCACAAATTCAAGCAAGTTTGGAGCATTGAGTTTGAAGAATTAATTGCGAGTTTATTGTTTGCTTATTATTTCAAATCATAAGTGGAAAAAACATGCATACAAGTTTTTTAAATGGCCCTACAATTCTCATTTCCTAAATGTTATTAGATGATAAGTAACTTTCTTAGGTAGGTTGAACCAAAATTGAACCCTGGAACAAGTTCTCAAATCCAATTTGAAATCCACAAAATTTTTAAAACCAATCGTCTCAAATTTTTAATAATACAAGTGTATGTGGGGGAGGTTAGATCCCAGTGACCAAATCTTACATCTGGAATATAGTTTGTTTCATAGCCTGACAAGACAGGATAATAATTTGCTCAGAATAACAAACTACACACAGAAAAAAAAAAAAAAAAAAAATAAATAAATAAAGAAAGAGTTATTGTTAATACTCTTCATCCGGCTACAACTTAATTTCGAAAACTTGGTAGCAATCTCTTTATGTAAATATTTAAGAAACACACCTGTGCATGAGCACACTCACACCCACACAACAAACGCATTTATAAGCTATGCCATTAATTCATATAAACCATTAAATCTCCCCATATCTTTGTCCAACTTCATGACAAGCGCAAATTTAGCTGTCAATTTCATCGCTAAGAAAAATTGGGGAAATTTCACAACGAAAAATTTGTCAGTAGATTCAGAACAATGTAATCATTTCCCTTCCAATCAACTAACCTTGAAACCAGAATTTCTCCCAGAAGGGATGTTGTCAAATTGTCTACTACCATCATGTTCAATCTCACTGCAAAGGGTAGAATCAATGGAAGAAAAAATACATATAAGAAAACATTTCATAACAAGACTTCGAGTTCATTTTTTATGCTTAAAAATAATCTTTACTAAATTACCACAAGCAGATGATATAGCAAGTACCTCAAGCGTCCATGAATAGGTTGACCTGCATGTACAATCTGAGCACCGTGAACGTATCCTAAGGCCTGCCAGAGCACAATGCAAGAGCTTGACACTTAGGATGAGAAATATACTAGCCATATGCATATTAATGGTTTAAAGCCATCTGCCCTTAATGTAGAGCGCTAAGATCAAACTCAGCCTTTCTATGGGCTAGGACTTATAAGGAATAGATCCACTATCTAAAGCATCCAAACTATCAGAACATGGGCTTCCTGGATAAGCCTCTTCAAAGGGTGGCTTCCTTGATTCGGCCTATTTTAAAACTACTTCATGTAAATTAACGAACCAAAAATCCCCTTTTTCACTTAAATAATTTCCTAAACCTTCTTTAGGTCCTCTTTAAATCCATCAAAATTTTGGTTCAATGATTAAATTTCATGCATAACAATCATAACTTGTCCTCTGTAGGTATAGAGATGCCTTAAATTTTCATGTATACCTAGAAACAAAAGAGTGTATGACAGGTAGTATTCAGAATTTTACATATACTAGTGGTTAACAACATTCAAGTAATAATGCAGTTATGTCAGCTGTGAAGTGCCAACGGCCAGAGATGTCAGAGATAAGCTGATGCATAGCAGACGCCATAACTTCACCTGTGTCATGGTATCTTGGTGTGTACACCAAAGAAAACACGAGGACTCTTGGAAGGGGAATGGAAGATTAGTGTTTAGACTTTATGGTTGGTAATATTTTACAGCAATTTCATGAGTTTTCCTCATTCCAGCCATCGTTTCTAATCCAGTAATCATATCATGATATATGTTATCTATTACTTTTAACCAACAAACCCCATTGGAGCCACTAGAAAATACAGGACTTATCTCAAATAAGAAAGGGCTCGCACAAAAAGATATAAGCAAACAACGGACACACACCATCAAACAGCCTAAGGGATGAAACTAAAACCTAAAAGAGGAAAGCCAAAAAAATTTCCCTGAATTATACTCTTTCTTCCATATGCTTTCCTAAATTTACTACTACCTCTGTTTTCAAAAGTTCTTCACTGTTACTATTTGCTCACAAATTAAGGCAATTGGAGAGAGAGTGTTGATGGTGTGCGGGAGTGAGAAAAGGTGGATATAGTGGGAGAGAGAATTTAAAAAGGTAGGTGGGTCAATGGGTGTAAGAAAAAGGTGGTAAAAGTAAGAGTGATGGGTGAGAAGGTGTAAACATTGTAAGGGGCATAGGCATAAAATGGGATTTACTAAAAATAAGATATAGCAAAAATGTAAAAAAACTTTCAGGAAATAACAAAAATGGAAAGCATAGAGAACTTTCAGGGACGGAGATAGTAGTTGTGACAAATTGAAGCAAATATAGGGCACCATGCACCATCGGATTGCTCTTAAAGATAATTTTTAACAGCATAGCAAGAAACTCAGGAACTTCCTGAATTTATTTCTTCCAAATGCTTTCTTGATCCTACTAGTGGCCAGTTCTCCCTCCATACTTTCCCTCTCCAGTCAATGCTTACCAGCAACAACCACAAAAGATAGACAACTTTACCCAAAAGCTTGCCACACGTTACTAAATCCTATATATTTGTGTTCTCTTGCACTGTCTTGCCAAGTGTGGAAATGCCAATAGGAGTACAGGACAAATTAACAGTGTGTTTGTATAGATTAGAAGGGAGGAAAAGAAGGGGAGGGAAGGGAAGAATGAAGAGTTTTCCTTCCAAATCTCTCCCTTGTTGGAGAGATCAATTTGTCGCAATTTGATCCCTCCATTTCTTTCCCCTCCAATTCTATCCCTTCCTCATTTGTTATCCAAATGAGAGATTATCTATCCCTTAATTTCTCTTCCCTTCCTTTCCCTCCATTTCCTTCAATCCAAACAAAGTGTAAAGGACCATCTCTGTTTCTCCCTCCCTCCCTTTCAATGTTATCTCCTTTTCTCTGATCTCTTCAAATCCAGCACATTTGCTGGCCTTCATTGTATCAACCTGTTGCATGAGCTAAGCTCTACTGCAATAATTCTCCCAAATAAGGGCTCAACAGAAGGGTAGACAGAGAGAGAGAGGAATGAATTATATTATGTTCGCTGAATGCCCTTACAAATTTATAATTCAACTCAACTTCAATCACCAAGCAACTTAACAGAAAAAATAAGGAAACATAACAGAAACAGTTACAAGGTAGTTATAACTGCTTTTCCTTTCTAAACAGAATTTATAAGAGTTGATTATAAATCAACTTCCAGCTTATACACTTATCACATCCCCAAACTAGATTCAAGGTAAAAAAAATCCTGATGTTATTGCTTAATCCTTAGTGTCTGCTAGAACTAAGATCTTATACACATCTGATCTGCTCCTCATTATACAAATATCAAATTTCACAACACTACACATCAATCCAATCCGGAAAAATGTTTTTCTTACATATTAGTGTATGCAATCAATGTTTTTACAAATCAAGAGATGCAATTAGACCAGATCAAACCTAAGTCAGTCTGCAGCTTATCAATTATAACATCTTTTTTTTTTACCTTCAATTTAAGGGGCTGACCAAAGAGTTTATATGTTGCATTGAGACAAATTACAAATAGTAAGTGGCAAAATGTGCAATTCTTTTATTAATTAGTACACTAAACTCTACCTGATGTCCAAGGCAAACACCCAAAATAGGTATATCACTACATTCAAGCAGCAGTCGAAGGCATAACCCTGAAAATGGAAATGCAAATCACATTCAGATACTGAAAATGTATTTTTGTTTACCAGTGTTAAACTGGCAACTATTTAAGATTGCAGCATTAATCAATTTTGGGCAGACATATCATTACTAAATTGTATAAATCGGCTCAATAATCTTGGAAACAAGCACAGTTCAAACACATGAAGAAGTAAAAAATTAAAGTGACTTTCATCACCTCTATTGAAAGCATGTTGAGCAAAATAGTCTCACAACTCTCACCTATATCAGCAGCACACATGGGAGAACCAGGGCCAGGTGATATGACGATATTATCAAAGGCTCTTTCCTCGTATAAGTAATAGTAAGCTTCTTCCCATGTCCATTCATCATTGCGCACAACAACAGGAGGAACTGATATAACAATTAACACATAGTGAAAGCTGTCAGCACAGTCATCTCCAAGTGGAGAATATTAAATCATAGTTGATCTCTAAGCCTCTAAGATCTAAAGTAAATCTAAGGATGCAGATGAATAAAGGGAGAAAAACATTTGCTAACATTAACAACAACCCAATAAATGCATGATCAATACTCAAAAGAATATTAATTCATCAGATCAACCAAAGAGCGAACAAGTGGCAGACAGTGATAAAACTATCTTCAATGTATACATTAACAAAAGTTACTAAGCATTTAAAGCAATCAAGGAATTCTAGCATTATCTTTAAAGATGAAGTCAATAGTATCTCATGTGAAGTATTACATTGTCAAACAGCTTAAACATAAAACCACACATTCTAAGAACTCGAAGATTTACCCACTGCAAAGCCCCAAAGCCACCATAAATGAGCTCCTCCATCCCACGAGAATAAAATTTGGAAGTTGTAAATCCAAGGGGAAATTCATGTTCCCACACAGTAATAGATGTCCTGAAATACATCTTTCCTACAAAGTATACACTACATTCATGACAAAGCACATGATTTTAATATATCGACCTAGAAGAGAATCAACAAGATAATTTACCATGAAAATATTTAAATCTTCGTCAACATGTTAGAGACAACACAAGCTCAAAGATCAATATACCAACAATAATCAAATGCAATGTAAGTCATAGAGAAACGGGCAATGATGATTCCATACCCTTATTGGTGACAGACAGCTCTTGATAAATGTTGTACGTGTAGCTATCGTAATTATCAATCAACAAAGTCCTAACACACTCCAAATTCCGATTCGCATTCATCTCTCCCCACTTCTTCTTAGTCTTGGACACCTCCTGCAATTTTTCAGCAGCCAAATGGCTCGACGAGGCTACAACAGCTCTCTGAGCATCATAACTACAATTATGAAACTTGTCCTTTTTAACCGGCAACACAGATGCCTTATGCAAAGGAACTTTTGTTCTGTTGGAACGAAAACCCTCTGGATGAGAATTTTTCGCCTCCAAAGATGACGAACACCACAAACTAAAGCTCATGTCTCCTTTTTACCAAATAAGCTGATCAATTCACCAAAAACCAATCACAGCATTAATCATCATTTAATTAATTCAAAATCAACCAATACATACTTATCAACCAACAACATCAAAATTAATTGGAAGCACATCAGCCAGCAGCACAATGAGTTATTTTTTAAAATAATCAGAGTTTGCAAAATCATCAATAGGACAATACACCAAGTTAAAAATTAGATTTCTTTCTCTGATAATCGAAATTGACTAAGAAATTATACGTAGAAATAAAGAAAAGCTAATTCTCCAAACAAACAATACTTAATCTTAAATAAATATCAAACACACGTACAAAAAACCAATTCCGCTATAACAAATTAATGAAGTAACTTTGTACTAAGTACAACAATCAATTACCTAATCATTCAATGACTTATTTTGACTAAATTTATTTCCAACTGATCATTTCTTTAATTAAATATCAACAAACAACATCTAATGTTTTAATTTAATGGGAAGCACATCAGCGATCAGCAAATTGATGTTTTTAAGAAAAATAGAACTTGTATTCGATTTAAGTTCGACTTTGCGATTTCAAAATCGACTGTTAGTATTAACACCAAATTGTTAATTTGAATTAATCAACTTTACTGAGAACTTAATATGTAGAAATTCAGACAAATTGGAAAATAAATTATAAAACAAGCGAACAAACAAATTTTATTCAAAAATCAATCACACAATTTTTTACCAAGATTTTTTACTACTACCTAACATTAATAATCTTTTTAATCAAAAAAACAACCAATACATACGTAATCAACATAAAACATCTGAATTAATGTCAGCACATTAAAAAAATAATAAAAATTAAAAATCGAACTTCAAGTTCGTTATTTCAAATTCAATCAGTGAAACTAAAATGTTAATCAGATTTCACAACAAACAAATCAAAATTCACAGAGAAATTCATACGTAATTCAGACAAATCGACGAAAAAAAAAATCAATCATTGAAATAAATTTAAACAAAACTGCAAAAATCAATCACGCAACAACAAATCAAAAACATTGAAGTGAGTAAAAAAGATGAGTAAGAAATGTACCGGAAAGAGAGTTAGGCGAAAGCAAAAGAACGGCGAGATATAGAGGAGGAGAGAGAAAGTAGAATGGCAAAGGTTGTGAAGGAGGAAGACGGCGGCGGCGGCGGAGGCGGCGGAGATGGCGGTGGAAGAGGGAGGAAGAAAGAGAGACGAAGAGCAAAAGCTAAAAACGTCTCTCTTTGTTTTTTCAATTGTAATTGTGCGAGTGATCTTTGGTGTGTGTGTGCGGCAACTCTACTAAGTAGTAACAACTCTTACCACACCAACACCATCCATGCAAAGCTAGTGGCCCGTGGCAGCCGTTACTCTCTTTTTTTGTTTTTCTTTTTTCAACACCAAAAATTTTATTTTAATGTCTCGTCTCACACTTTCTCTGTTTTTTTATTGTTGCTTTATCCGGATTTTTACGCTATTTAGTTACTCTTTTTAATTCTAAATGTTATTAGGGTCTGTTCACATTTACTTAATTCCAGTTTAGTTCAGTTTCAATCAGTTCAGTTCAGCTCCAATCAGTTCACTCCAGTTCAGTTCAGCTCTTAATTTCCCTCTCTCATAAAATATTCATTTCAGTTTAGTTCAATTCAGCTCCAATCAGTTCAGTTCAGTTCAGCCCAGTTCAGTAAATGTAAACATGCCCTTAGTCTTACTTCTTACTAACCACCAATAAAAATCAAAATTAATTGGTGGTTGGTACAGTGTTGATTTGGACTACACTTGATAAGGAGGACTTGTGTTTGATATCCCGCAATAATAATTGGGAGGGGGACTGGAACCTAACCACCCATTTCCGAATCCGAATTAGTACTAAAGGTGAATTGGGCGAAACACCAAAAACAAAACAAATACCAGTAAAATATAACATGAATATTTTATATTACTTGTATATATTAACAATAATTTTGAATGTTCTCTCAACTTATGAATAATGTGAAGATTTCAAATATGAAGAAAAACAAATAACGGAGGGACTAATTATTGTAAATTACATGTGATTAAAAAAAATATATGATTATATATATATGTATAAGATCTTATTAACTTGATATAATTTATAATTTATACTATTCTGTAAATTTCTGGATTTTAGTACCTGCTATGTATATAGATGCAAATTTTTATTTGTTAGTAAGAAATACTATAAACAATATTGTTATGTATCAATAGAACAATGTATATTTTGAATTATCAATAATCAACTTATTATAAATTTCACTAATAAGTGTCAAACAGTCACAGTGATACAAATATTAAAATTCATTTTTTTTAAAATCAAATAAAAAAAGAAAGGAATTTTTTTTAAATTTGAATCAAATACTCATTTATTGGTTGTTGTTCGAGTTCGTTTATTGGTTGTTTTTGGCAGTCAAATGTTTTCTTTATTTGCAATGCGTTCGGTGCACCATAAAATAAGCAATCGGTTAAGGTTGGTGGACCCAATTTTAAGATTTTCTTTTAATTTTGGACCATTTTTAACCGTTTATGAGATTGGCTTTGAACTATCTTCTCCAATTGGGAATTTTGGACCATCTTTTTACCTTTTTATTTTATTCTTTTTTGGGACAAAGGTTACTTGGGCCATCATGGTTCATTATGACACATTATTGTGAGCATTGATGCATAGGCCCTTGCGCCTTGGAAATGTAAGATGTACACTTCCTCCATTCCAAATAGATTGCCAACTTTTCATTTGTGGGTCTAGCTTTCAGAATAACCACTGAAATTTTTCATTTTAAAATGTATAATGATATATGATGAACAAAAATATCTACGGGTTTGCTAAAAAAAAAAGTATCTACGGTACTACTCCCTCCCTACTCCCTCCATCCCTTAACACAAAACTTCATTTCCTTTTTGGGTAAACTAAAATATAAAAGAAATGGTCTAAATGAATATTTTAAATCACAATTTATAAATAAATTCAAACAAATAATATACTTGTACTCTGTATTAGATTTTGCATATCAGTATATGACATATCAATCTAATTTTGACGGTATTAAATTATGCCTACCTTTTTTGGTCAGGAAAAGTTGAGATGAAATGTGGTAAAGTTCCCATCTGAAATTTTGGACAAGGGAGTAAAGGGGTGTAAAGAGAAAATAAATTCAGCGGAGGGTGTAAGACTTGAAATGGAACTTTTTTTAATGTAGGTAGAGGAGATTTGAGATTTTCTCAATTTATTTACTCATTTATAATTGACTTGCTTTAACTTATGAACTTATCTACATAAAGATTAGATTAACTATACTGAGAGCTTGTATCAATAATCTCAACTAATATGAACCATTTTTTTGTTGAAACTATTATTAAGTTGAGAAAAACACCATCCAATGAACATGTGAATAATAATTACTCCGTAATAGACTACGTAAGTGCAGGTGCGAAACCTAACAACAAACATCAAGCAAACTGAATCAAGAATCATACAGGCCACAATTCATCGACCAAAAGAATCAACTATAGAGTTATCCCAAGACAGCTTTCCTTTCATCGGCATGCATACTCTTTTCCGAGTACAATAACTTACAGTGTTACAGCTTACAGTGGCAAACACTACTAATAATAATCAGAAAATAAAAGATACTTTAGAGAGCTCATCCATGTACGCAACGCAGACCCTATGACATCAATTTCTTCCCATAGGAGAGCTCCAGGTCGAAAGACAGAAGAATAAAATTCGCTTTAAGCAATCAATTAAAAATAAATGAAATCAAGGGAAGAAACTAAGACCTTTTAAAGGAAAGGGCACACAAGCTTACATATTTAAAACTATACACTATATGTTACACAAGAGAGCAGCTAGAATTTCGGAGGAGCTGCTTCCTCAAATCCTAAAACCCAACCCTCCCCACCTCTTCGTCGACTCTTTCTTTGTTCTCTTCGTGTTTGGATCAATGAGGTTTTCCAGCGATTTTGCTTTCCTATTTCTGCTCTTGCCGGCTTCTTTTAATAGCTCGGCAAGCCTGCTCTTCTCATCGTCAAAGTCAGGATTGGCTGTACCTAGCTTCTCTTCCCTCAACTTGACAACATACTCCAGGATCTCAATAGAATCGTCTACTCTGTAATAACATGGCCAATACATCATTATCTATCCTCTATCAACAGTTGACAATATCATTCAGTAACAGGCTAGCATCTACTATGTCTATATCACTTATATCAGCGCCATTCTCTCACCCAATAAAATAATGAATTTATAAAGCATCATACTGAAAGAAAACAGCCTAACGTTGGAAGTTTCAAAAGGTGGCCCTTTTTCTTTTAAGACCAGTTCATAAGGAAAGAGTAAAACGCATAACTGTCAAAGAGCTACACTCATGTGACTCATCCCACGTCCATCCAACATATATACTGAGTATAATAAAGAATCATACATTAAAGAGTAAAATAAAAGCAGGTTAACTCGAATTAAAGCAAATTCTAGATACCTCAGACCAAGGCTGAAGGCTGCAAAAGAAGTGAAGAAAAATGGTACAAGATAATCCTCTACCCACCCTCACTGCAAAAGGTGTTGAAGAGTACCTGCTTTATAGTTGAAATTTACCATGGTTTTTGTAGCTTATCGAAAATCACATCCACTAAAACTTTCCCCATTCTTTCCTTTCCAAGTGTCAATAAGCATAATACAGTAGAAGTAAATTATACACTGATTGCGCTGACATGTCTTACTTAAAGCTCGCTATAATCAACCATTACCAGAAAATCTACCCCAAGGACCTCAAAAACATTGTACATTCTCTTTACTTTGCCAAAGTATGAGCTAAACACTACTTAATTTCTTAAGCAAACTACTATCACCTCTCAAATATAAAACCAAAGAGATATGTGCCCATAAATGTTCACGCATGTCTGTCCCCTCAAAAATTAAGGAAAATTAAATCTGAAACTGTTAACATAAATAAGCAATACTTGTATATTGGTAATGTAGCTAAGCCAAAGATTTTAAGCATGTCAGTAATATCAGTATATCACGTAGTCAAACAAGCACAGAACACCAACAAGAAAGCATGAGTACAAGTGAAAGAGAAATTGATACCTTCCCATAGCATCATAAGTAGCTGCAAGGTTGCTATATACTCCAAGAGTGTCTTGGTGACAAGGGCCACATTCTTGCTCCAAGACTGCTCTAGCCTCTTCAAACAATTCAGCGGCCTGGTCTATCTTAAACAACTGCACGCACGCCAATCCCATCTGATTCAACAATACACCAAAGAAAGCTGACTTTCTTTCTCCACTGCCCCTAAGCTTAGTAACTGCACTTTCAAAAGCAACCAAAGCTTCACCATATCTACCAATCAAGTAATACATCACACCCATGCGTGCTTCTAGCCCAGCAATAGTGTTCTGCTGACCTGCCTTATCATCCAACAATTTCATAGCCCTCTCCAAGAGCCTTAATGCCTCCTCAGGCTCATTAACTGATTCATAAACAGCTGCAATGTCACTCAATCCACTGGCAATCTCCTCTTGTGATGTTCCAGGAACAGGTTTGTTGTATATCCTCAATGCGTTCTCACAGTAAGATTTCGACTCCCTAAGTTTTCCGGTCTTGTAGTACAGATCAGCAAGGCGAACAAACACAGATGCAACAGAAGGGTGGTTCTCACCCTTGGATGATTTAAAGACAGTCAAGGCTTTCTGATAAGAAAAAACAGCCTCATCAAAACGGCAGAGGCACTGGTATATGTTGCCAATGCTAACATCAATAGCAGCAACCTCAGTTTCTTGTCCATTGGCAATCATTGCCATGCTAGCAAGAACAAGGTGCTCAAGGGCTGACTCATAGTCCGCCTTTGCCTCTAATATGAGAGCCATCAAACGGCGATCAGCTGCCTCCTCAAGAGACGCAGGAGCACTATGAACGCGGTGAATTTCTAGGGTTTGCTTACACAATCTTTCAGCTTCCTCAAATTGCATAGTCTGGACATGAGCTTCAGCCAAGTACCTAATAATGATACAACCACCAACAATTCAAATAAAGAAAAAATAAAGAAAGAAAAAATCCCTACCTAACAGCATGATTGTAAATTGTTAGAATATGACATGCTAGCTAATATCTGACACTAAAACTCAAACTTGTTTATCAAAAGTGACAAATTCTTACACTTTTAATCATTGTTTTAAGCAGCATTTAATTCAGCATCAAACCGCAATTAATCCACCAAACTAAAGCTGTAATCTGTCATATTACTTCCTAGATTAGTATATTCATCAGAGCAAAAACTGAAATCTTTTAATTTTATTTTGTATATGAAACTAAGAGCTAAATTAGTACATTCTCATAATCATAAGTCCAAGACTAATAAAAAAACCCATTTTCACAAACATAAACCTGGAAAAATGCTAAATTGGACTAATAAACATACACAATCCGCCTACAACATTAAAGATCATCACCACCCCAAAAAATATAAAATTAAACAATCTCTCTTCCCTTTTCAAGTAAATCACTGAGAAGTAGACGGGATTTGATCACAAGTCTTAAATATCGGGATTATAACCCGACCCCGAAATAAAATATAACAAGCAGATAAAATAAAGTAGTTAAAAAAGAACAGACCTACAAGTTTCGGCAACTCTGGGATCAGAATCCCCAAGAGTTTGAATCTGGATCTTCAACCCATCTTTATAACACTCAATCGATTTATCAAGCTGACCCAACATAGAATGAGTATCACCCAACTGCATAAACCCAGAAAACGCAGCTAAAGCATGATCAGCTCCTTTCGAAACATCTGGAACTTGAATCGCTCTTTCTAGAACTGGAATCGCTTCATCAAACCTCCCTAAACTGCAATAAATCGCTGCAACAACATGAAGACTCATCGCCAAATCCAAACTGGGTTCCCCTTCAACCGCACATCTCTCAAACGATTTCGACGCTCGAATCGCGTAATCTAGGGCCTTAACCGGGCCATCCCCAGAAGCAATAGTATCTCTAGCAAGCTTCAAAAGAAACGGGCCTAGATCCGGGTTATCAAGGGAAGATTCGTCTAGATTAAGAGGGGTTTTTTGCGGGTCGGGTTTTTTCTTCCCGGAGCTCCGATCAGGGGAGGGTTTAGCCCGGGAAGTTGAAGGTGAAGGAGAGGGAGTTCGTTTGGGTGCAGGAGAAGGGGAGTTGAGGCGGGACCCAGTTGAGGGGCGGATCTGGGAGGTGGGTTGTTCAGTGGAGGAGAGAGAAAGTGTTGGTGGGGGAGTTTTAGCAGAGACTAAGCCTGGCATTTTGGGGGTAGTAATGGAGGAGAGAGAAAGTGAGGATGAAATTGAAAGGGGGGTAGTTGAAGGAAGAAGATGAAGGTTGAAGAAGAAGAAGAAGAGATTAAGGAGAAAGTGAAGGAATGATTGTGTGTGTTTGTTGGTGGTGAAAGGTGAGTGAGGTGAGAAAGGATGGAAATGGAAGCAAAAGAAGGTTACAGGAGAAGATGAAGAAGAGAGAATAAGGGAAAGAAAGGAAAGGAATGAAATTGTGGGAAGTTATTTTTTGGTCGTTGGATTTTTGTTGGTTTTGGGGTTTTGGACAACTCCGTAAATTGTACTGGGGATTTTTATTTTAATTTTTCATCTTTCAATAAAAGCTTTTAAAATCGATTTTTTATATGCTCTTTCCGTTTTCAACTTTTCACCTGTTTTTTTTTATTTATTTAAATTTATTAACTCTTATTATAATTTATACGAAGTATTAGTTATAAATTGAATTTGACTAGTCTTGATTAACCCTTATCACAACTTATCTAAACTTATTCAGAGGTTTTTCAGTATGGCAGGCCACATGGTGCGGCAAGGGTTACTTGTATCTTAGGCTTACTTGTATTTTGGGGTTTGTATGGGTTACTTGTAAGGTGTTACCTGTATTATGAGGTTACTTGTATGAGTTACCTGTATCGTGGGGTTACTTGTATTCTGAGTAACTCCTACAAGTAACTCTAAACCAAAACCCCTATCAAACCAGTAACACCCTACAAGACCAAAACCAGTAACACCCATACAAGTAACCCCATAATACAAGTAACACCTATGACCAACCCATGACAAAACCAGTAACACTTTACAAGTAACCCCTAATCAAAACCAGTAACATCCATACAAGTAACTCCAGAATACAAGTAACACCTACAAGTAACCCCTGATAAAACCAGTAACACCCATACAAGTAACACCTACAAGTAACCCCTGACAAAACCAGTAACACCCTACAAGTAACCCCTGTCGCACCATGTGGCCGGCCACATACAAAAATTTGTAAAACTTATTGAACTTATTAAAACTTATTTGAACTTATTTTTCTTGAAATAAGTGGGAATAAGGTGAACAAAACAAGGCCTTAGACCCTGTTCTCAGCTTAATTTCAGTTTTGTTCTTAATTAGTTTCTCTTATAAACAATTCATTTCAACCCATTTCAATAAATCAAAACAAGCTCTTACTATATTATTCGCAAAAAATCTTAAAATGTGAATATAATAACTGTGAATGAATAAAAATGTGGAAATTATGTGGCCTGAGAACTAGCATTGTAAACGAAATACAATAAATTGTACAGTACAAAATTTTTATAAACAAAGTACTCGTAATAAACCAACATGGAAAATATGGGTATGAAGTGAACATATCTTATGAATATTGTATCTTCCATAAAACAGATAAGGGTTTAAACTTTCAAGCCTATTAACACATTTTAATAACGATTTAAGGAATACACGTTTTCAAAAGTCAATAATTCTTGAAATTATTCCGTACTAATTTGTGTTTAGTAATAATCCTATGATTTTTAATTTTATAATGACTTAGGAACTTAAACCATAATTGGGCATACCTAATACCAATTTGTTTTGATTTTCAAGTCTTTTTTTAGCTTTTCTTAATTATTAATTTTTTTGAGGAATAATTAATATTTCTTAATTCCTTTTATTTTTTTTGAAAAAATATTTCTTAATTCCTAATTTCCTATGCATGTGTTGATAATAATAATAATAATAATAATAATAATAATAATAATAATAATAATAATAATAATAATAATAATAATAATAATAATAATAACTTTGAATGTTTTTGAGTTTAATAATAATAATAATAATAATATTATTATTATTCGGGATATCAAATCTTGACAAGTCAGAAACTGAAGATAACAACCATGAAATTAGGTACGTGTTAAAAAATAATTAGTCTTATCAGGGCGCCAATTGACCAATTCGGACTAGAGTAATTTTTGGTTTTTGATTCAATCTAGGATTTAGAAATACATACGTATTCTTGAAGTTGGGGCATTAAGCATGTGAGTTTGGGCTTGCTTAGAAAGCTCAAGTACTACAGGATTTTGGGCCAGCTTAGTATAATGAAAAAGCTATCAGCATTAAGTTTATGGAATTATGCTGAACAAATAATACGAGTATTGGTTAAAAATAATCCCCCCAAAAGGTGGAAAGTTGCCATTAAACTCTGTACAATTGTGTGATTTAATATCATACAGAGTACTAACTTAATATTTGTAACATGCTGCCAACAACTTTTCTTTAATACTCGGTAACTTTCTGGTGCTCTAACGATGATGGGCTTGCTCCAAATAAACTAAAACAAATGTGTAACATTGTTTTCTTCTACACACCGGAGTCCAGATCATACTTCTAGGGTCTGAAGGAGTCATGATTCATGAATAACAATTTTCTCATCTTTGGTCACACCTCAATTTGCTAGTCAATCTTTAAGTTTATAGCCTTCCCAATAGCAATGACATGAGGATGTTTTCCATTCAGTCTCCTCGTCGTTGATATGAATAATTTGGATTCATATTGGCAAGTAGCTTTTAGCGATGCAATGATTAGTTCAATGTTAAGCCTGTCCTTAAATTATGAATTATTGAGGCCAAAAAATTAAAGTATAAAACACTGTGTTGTTTGATAGACTGCCTTATTTTAACTGCACAAATCCCCTATCCAAAAACACAAAAAATAAGAAAAATGCATAAACGGTGGCACCTTTGAAGTAGATGCCTTGACTTCAAAAAGAGCAAAGAATTTAACCTCACTCAACCTTCAGATTTATGCAAAAAGTTGAAAACAATCACGTTAGTCATTGTACATGTAAATGTATTGAACAAACAACAATGTGTCAATGTCTGACATCTGAGATAACTTCCCGTCTAAATCAAAGACATATATTTCATAGATCTATTGACCATTTAACTTTACATTTTTATCCAGTATACACTTATGGTCTAACTTATTAATTTTCTACTTCTATTGCCTTTGAGCACAAAGAAATCAACTAACCTGGTCTGGTGGATGAAATATGATGAAGTTCCTGATGTCCTTCAGGATATAAACGACATAATTATGGTGAATAAATTGAACAAGGTAATTATTAGCAGTGCAACTTGTAAAGATGTGCAAGTCGAGGGTGAAAACTTAAAATTATTCAACTTAATAATGAAATAGCAACTTGCATAGCTCATGCAATTTTGACTAAATCCCACGTTAAGGTTTCCAGATCCAGCGGTTGCAAATCTCGTGCCACTAGTATGACCCGATTCGAGTTATGATTTATCTTGGTCATTGGATTATGCCGGGAGAACTTTGTCACCGTTGATCTTCTTAACAAGCTTATCAATTTTGCGAAATTGAAATGGCCATCTCGAGTTGTACAAGAACTGACGTAGATCGAATCTATTGTCCTCCGGTGAATACCTCTTCATAAAAAAAAAAAAAAAAAAAAAAAAAAAAAAAAAGCAACCATACATAAGGATTTACAGCTTACAGCACACCTGTTTCCAGAAAACAATGTTCGGTAGATACCTCTGCATGGTAGGAAGGCGTAAGGAGAGTCATGTTGTGCCGATTGATGGAATAGTGCTCAAAGAAGTACTTAACCTTTTCAGCAATTTCTGATGGTGTCAATTTTGAACCCCATCTAAAGCTAAGATCCTGTAAGAAGTTGAAAATGTGATACAGCAAAAGCCAGCTCCTATTAGTTTCAAGCTAAGGATTCCTTGTTAAAGTCAAAACAGGTTTTTCTATCTAGCTGAGAATTATGCTTTAAATTACTATGTGTATTCTAGAAGGCCAAAGCTATGTTCAAACATCAACCAATGATAAGTTATACATCAACTAGAGTTTCTAAAGGCTCAACTTAAAAGGACAATATCATACTTCTTGTCCTTCTGGGGAGAGTTTGTGCTTTAAACATAGTAGATGATTGTCAATTTTTGTATTATCTGATCGTTAAAGAAAAACAAAGTTAATTTTAGCTATGCAAATTGCAGACTATTCAATACTTTTACATGTTTTCAGGTTCACAAGATTTCTCAGCCTAATTGCTTGCTCATTATTCGACGGAATATGTATTCATCAACATGAAGCAAAATAGTACATACCGTGAACATAGATACAGGACCACAACGGTAAATTTTACGCAGTCGACCATAAACTGAAAGGTCTTCATACGTCATTCCCATGTCCACTTCATCCAGCCGTTAGCAAAAGATAACATTAATGGTATAATTAATGGGTGTTTAACAAGTGGCAAATTAGCTAGAGGTATTTTAAGTCATAAGAGGAAAAGGAAAGGACCAATAAAAAAAATCAATGAGATACAAATCAACAAGTAACAACATTTACCGAACACAAGAATGTTTCGTGATGCATCTACCAAAGAGTCACCTGTGTGTAATCTGAGCGTATTGGCTCCAGTTCAGCAGTTGGTGGAGCAGCTTCAACCTCTGCCAAGGAAGAGTAGCCAAGATTGACAGCAGCCCATCGCAAGAATGCTCGAAGATCGGTCTTATTTATACTTCCAATAGGATTTATGTCGGCTGAGCTACAATCATACTAAAAATCATACGCAAAGTAATATAAAACAATCAATGGATGCGCAATAGCTAAAATGTCCACAAGATTCAACAGATAATCTAGATTACTCCATGAGGATGGAACAAAGACAATCAAGATAGTTCTACTATATACTTAAGACATGAGTTCAGAAAAGATCACCTTTGTCAAATAACCACGCAATGCCTCATCAACATTGGTGCAACCAAGCACAAGATAAAACCCCGATTTTCTATGAACCCAAGGCATAAGCAATGCCAGCATAAAAGCCAAAACCATTCTAATACGAGCTTGAATGTTCTGTAGCTCTAAGTTCTCAACATTGGACCCTCCATCAACCTACATAACAACCAAGACATAAAATTTCAATCATTGTTGTAAATATGTAATATTAGCTATCTACAAAAAGCAAAATACAATGATGCACTGAATCATTAATATCTTATATCAATAGTGAAATCCAAATAAACTACAGTCCATCCTGCTATTCTCATATAGTCTTTTTCTTTTACATTCATTCAAAGGGATCAATTACCTTATAGCGAGGGCGTTTTCCTGTTAGTGTCTGAAACAAAGTTAGTAGGGCTAAAATAACACCATCTATACAGACATCAAGATGCCATGACCCAATCTCATCCGCAAGCTTTTTGGCACGTGATTTTGTTGTTTCAGAACTGCAAAAGGATGATCTTGACAATCATTATCAAATCACATAATCTAAGTAGCAACAACCAAAAAAAAAAAAATTGTGGGCAGGGTATTAACATAACCCCTTACTCGGTCAAAAAATGATTACCATCTAAACTATGTAAGATGGAAAGTCATCATGCTCAATACTTTTTGAGCCTCTTCTCATTGCATAATTAGATAAGCAATGTTAATGCCAATGTTGATTGTATATATTGACACCAGAGTATCTTATATGGATTATATATAAACTAGCAACAGTTTTGCTCTTGCGTGAAGCAACGCTTCAGCAATGGAACTCATCGCCTTATATTTGTGACTGATGTGCTAATTGAGTAATGAGCAGACGTATTAGCAATTGTATGATGCACAAAAAGAAAAGACATTGCTTTGAGTTACATAGTTGTATACCTATTCTCAGTCCTCATGAACACAGTGTAAAATATGTGTTTTGCAAAGTCTTTGCTATTAGTTGGAAATTTGCCGTCAGGATATTGGCCAATCCTTACCGCGTCAAACTTTACTTGTTCATCCCCATTATGAATTTCTGGATACCAAACATCATAATTTTTATTTCAATAAGTCATAGCAAAAATAACAACATAATGGCATCTATGAATTCAAAGTACATGTCACTGTGAACTACTAGTATATATTAAAAAAGAACCTTCAACATTAAAATTATGACCATATTCCTATGAGGTAGGAAAGCTGCAAATATTTGGTCCAATTAAAGGCTTAATTACAACAAAAGATAGGTAGACTCATCATGAACTCACCTTTAACAACAAGCTGACACATGCAGCCAACAATTGCAGCAACAGAGGAGCTATCAGCGCCTCCAGAAAGTGGAAGCAAGAAACCAGAAGCTTCACTTCTTCTTAAATAGTCCCATAGCCAGCAAGCCGGCCCCAAAGCCATCTCTTCCTCTGGTTTGTGTTCACGGTACTTAGTCTACAAGTCACCATTATCTCCATCAGACAAATGCAGTAATGTACAAAATGATAACTATGTTGAAGGGAAAAATGCACATTTGTTTAGCAATGTAGAAAGAGGTTCAAACAAACATTTTTTATCTACCGGCTGTAAAGGACTGGACAGATATCTCAACAGAATGTTCTTTGCTTGTAAATTAGTAAAGTAGTAAGTATTTAATCACCTTTTGGATTAGTAGTTTATTGGAATTTGCCAATTGCAAACAATAGAATAGATGATAAAACGTTGAAAGGATCTTTCTCCCCTAATAAGCACAAGTTAAAATGCCAATCATATTTGAAAGTGATAACTTTTGACCACCATTTTACTTGAATAGATGGGGGCTAACCTTGGGTGGACATGAAATAGGTTCTTTTAAATGGAATGATTGGCAAAGCTTGTAAGGAGCTACAATAAATGGGACTGCTACTTTTTTGCTCGCCTGCTGCTGCTGAAAGCTACTTGAGGAGAGTCGTAGGCTAGCAATCTGTGATCAATATATACAATGATATATAAGATCAATCAAGCACAATATGTGACATATGCACATAACTGGAAGAAAATGAAAGGATAATACTATTATTATACTCACATGACCAACATTTATTTGCTTTAAAAAAAAAACAACAATGAAGGTCATAAAACTTCTATTGCGCTGCCTAAGAGGTCAATCGTCCTGATAACAAAAAAGACTAAAAATTTAATAATCAAACATTCAAACTTACTGCATCAAGATCCACATGAGCAACGACAACTTCCACATCCTTCAATGAGAATTGGGAGCCTTGAGCAACCAAATCTCTGTTAACAACAACACAACAACATCCATCTGCCACATTAATCAAGAGGGTAATAAGAATTAGATATGTAAAGATTGTAAACTATATAATCTCTACTAATATATACATACGATAGAATGTAGGTATAAAGTCAACTATAGAAATACCGTAATATAAGCGTCCACCGTCACAACCTTGCTGATTACTATACATGTAAAGTCCTCCACGAGCTTGTGTAGCGCCTATAAAAGCATCCATGCGAAGCTTTCTTAGTTGATGGTGACTTCCACTAGCATTCATAAAAATTTCAACACCATTTAATGCAAGCTGAGTATGAGGTAGATCTGGACAAAATAGCTCCTCACAAATTTCAGCAGCAACAATTCTGACAAAGAAATAAATGCCTGAGCAACTACTATACCAAATGCAATTTGGGCGAGGATATAACATGCAAGAACAACTTTGCATGTAAAAGGCAAAGAAATCTCAAGAATATGAAAGAAGCAACGAGGAGTGCTCGATAAGATTTTGTACAACAAAAGGCAAAATAAAAAAGTAACATACGCGTCCAAGAACTTTATGAACCCATAACCAAAGGGCACTATTGTTTGCGATATAGCGTCTGCGATGTCAGGAGGTAGCTGAAAGTCTACCATCTGGTCTGTATGCTTCCAAGAAGTGAACCAATGAAGCTCTCTATAATTACCATCATTGGCAAGCCACATCTTTGGTCGGATTATGATGATCTTTCTATTCATACAAAGAACTTGACAATTGTAACACGCTGATCCATTAATTATTGGCATCCCGAAGCTACATAGTATGCCATCAGTCCAATCCTCGAGCAAAATTTCTTTCAGACATTCCCATATGCAATTTTGTCATTAAGTGTTACAGTTACTTTCTGCTCACAACTCACACCCGTGGTATATAGATAATATCCAAATATCTTAAATACAAGCAGGTTCATGAATTTTTTTTTTTTTTTTTTTTTTTTTACGGGATTCATGAAATTATATCATGCGAACTAATTCTATTATTCTATATATACAAAAGTAAATGTTATGGACTTATATATGGTATACGTGTTACTTCCGTTATATATTATGTGCAACGATTAGACATTTTTTCCTCTCACTTTATGTTAACTCGTTGCAAATAATATGTAACGTAGGTAGTATAAGATCTTTATTGCTGCATAGATATATCATAGTACTTGTGTTGGCTAATTTGGTTTTTACTATTTTGCCAAAAGCTCTACTTAAAAACTAGTGGGTGCCAAGTTTGATTCTTGCTAGCAACATTTTTTTTTTGGTCTTTTCTTTTAATTTAATAAAGAAACTTATAGGGTACAGCCAGACCAATGAAATAATATCCGTCTTTCTATATACCCACATTGTGATATACTCCGTAATATGCTGATACATATCGATGATAGGATTGATAGCATAAACACATATCATAACTGATGATTCTATGGTATACTAAATTAATGTCAAAATTAATTATAAATCAATTATCTAATTTTTAAAATTCAAGGCTTGTTTGGCATTGTTTTTTGTTTTTAGTTTCCAGTTTTTTTGAAAACTAAAAACCAAAAACAGGAAACAAGAAAAAGGTGTTTTCACTTTTCTATTGTCAGTTTTTAAAATTATCATGATTTTAATAAGTTTGACTAATTTTTTATTCATTATATGATATAAATCATATGATATTAAAAAACAAAAAACCAAAAAACAGAAAACCACAGTGATGCCAAACGAACCCTCATTTATTAATTTTGAAAAAAAATCTGACTTATTTTGTAAATTTCCTAATTAATTTACAAACAAGAGTAATTAAACCTTTGCCCCATTATCCCAAAATAAAACCTTCTGATTAACCATAAATAATCCTAAGTTCACTACAAACTTAAATTACGGAGTAATCCATACTTATTTTCTCATAACGAGCCTATTTGACCGGTTACCTGAACTTAAGGTAACTTTTTTTTTTCTCCTTCTGTGACACCATTGATGTAAGCTCCAACCAATAACAATGGCTTCCTCTCTCTCCTCCTTCTTCGTTCTCTTTTCAACTCCTTTCACCTTACACCCTCCCTCACCAGTCACCACTTCACCTCCCCGTCAACCTAGCCCATTACCCCCATCAACCAGCCCGCCCCACAACCCTTCCTCTCCCTGTCAACCAGCCCGCAATATGCCCTCACCTTTCAATCAGCCCGCTACCACAATGTGACCCACACAGCCACACAGCCACACACACTACTTTAAATGATTTAGGACTAAATTGTGGACGTAATTGGTTGCCGTTGAGCGTGGTGTTGCTTGAATTGTTGATTGACCGGCTAGATTAAATGGTGGCAGAATAGATGCATGTGGGTGTTGCCGTGGGTTGTTGTTGCGGCGATGAGATGAGGATAGTGCAGGCGGCAAGCTAAGGAGAGTGTGGTTGGCTAATTGCTGATGAGGACGCCGCACTGTTGCGCAGGGGGGTGCGTGAAGTTGGTGGTGCGATGCGGTGGCGTGGCTTGGTTTGGTGGCTTCTGCCAGCGGTAATAGAAGGCCATGCTGTTGATTAATGTTGGGCGGCTAAAGTGGTGGTGGCCATGAAAGGGGAGAAGAGAGATAGCCATAGGAGCATTAACAAAGGTTAACCAGTTATTTCAAGCTTTTAATAAAGGTTAATCAAAAGGATGAATTATTTTGGGTTGAATTATTCTTATTAAATTTTCCTTAGAAAATCCAGTATTTATTATTACTAAAATTAAAATTAAAAAAAAAAAAATCAAATTCAATATGATATATAAAAATCAAAACACTTTCAAAATTAAGAAAATTTTTTATTATTAATTTTGACATGCAAAACAAATATAAAAATTAGCCAGTAAAAAATCAATATAATGATAGTCATTTTTAGAATGACTTTCATAGAATTTTCAACAACATCATACCCTACCAAAGTGTCCAAATTGTCCAAATTAAAGTTGAAGTTCAAAGTAACAATTTTATAGAATTAACAAAACCCAAAACTATTTTAGCAACCCAACAATCACTCAAAAAATGGAGTAATCATGTTGAAATTACAACGAACAATATATATGAATTAGAGGAAGAATCTTACGCATGAGAGACAGTATCAAGCTCTAAGAAGTGATCTTCGCATCCATAACCAGTTATTTCAAGCTCAGGACCTAAGCGAATAGTGGCGCCAGCATCTTTAGCCCTAGAAATCGATTCCTTTATATTCTTCAAATTGCAATCAATATCCATTGCCCATTGATTCAAATTGCATGTTGCAACTTTGATCAACCTCATTTTTTTTTACTAACTTCTGTTGAAATTTGATGTATATGTTGAAATTCAACACGATAATTCAACAATTTTGCAGGAGTAAGGAATTTGTATGTAAGTCTAAAGTAGTATTGGAATGTTGAGTGAGAATGAAATTTTAAGAGAGGGAAAGAGATTGAGAGAGATGGCTTATATGAGGTTCGCACTTTTCTCACCTTTATTTTTTAAGTTATTTCAAATCGATCAAAAGAGGAGCGTTAAAGATGAACATAGGTACTCAAAAATATTTTCAACATGTTTTAATAGATCAATCATATACATTAACTACTATACGGCCCTCTTATTAATTATTACTAGGTGTGAAGCCCGTGCGACGCACGGGTTTATTTTTAAAATTATTTAAAATTTGTGTCTTATTAAATACTAATACTAATAATAATAATAATATTAAAAGGATTTGAAGACATTAGGATAGTTGGTAAGTGTTGCGGTTTGTGTTCATTTTGGATTTGGATTGCAAAAGATGTAATTTGTTAAGAGGAAAGAATGCTTTAATTTACACGTGTGTTACAATTGATTTGAACTGTAGGAACATATTAGTTTCATGCATGCCAACGCAACTACACAAGTCACAACTCTATTACTTTCATTAATGGACCGATGACCAATTATACAGTATATTATATTATATAGTCCACAGAGCTACCAGAAATTATCAGCATATAATAATAATAATGTCAAAAATCAAAAAGAATAATAAAAATATTTCAATATTAAAAAATATTTATTATTATTATTATTATATTATCAAAAAAAAATTTTAAAAAAAACAATTTGTGATGTTCAAATAGAATGATCTCTTGTACACCTCTGTATAGAGTACTCTATTCTTTTTTTGTAGTTTTGATTTAGGTATCTTGGGTCTCCTGTGAATGACACTGACAGGATTATCCTATTCCCTTTTGTAGCCCTAAATATGTAGTGTGTAGAGTATATTGTTTCTTTGTAATTCTGGTACATATTTTTTGTGCCTCCGATCAATGACGGTGATAAGATTAATTTTTTTCCATCTTCATCTCCAAAAATAAAAATAAGATTAATATTTAATCAAATATAAATCTTAGTAAATTGTAATTGATAAAATAATAATAATATATACAAATATATTAAAATAATAATTACCATTTATCTTCTATTTCAATTGAATCTCCAATTTCGTTAACAACCATGCCAACCACATCTTGTAGGAAAAAGTGATGTACGAAACAAAAAAAAAATTATAAAAAATAGTTAAGCAAAAGATAACACTATAGAAATTTTTTAAAAATAAAAATAGAAAATCTGTAAAATATATACCAGGGAGTGTAGCATTACTATGGAACTTATCTAAATGTTGCAATTGAACAAAATCAAATCTATGCAACGGAATTTTATTATTATCTGCAACGCCCTTGACAGTTGTATTTTGAAAAAATTGTATCATTATCTTGTTATCGCTCACAACACAATATTCATTCTTGTTAGGTACAAGAGAAAAATATCGAATTGTGTAAACTTTGCCTTCAACCAATTTAGAACGAAATTGTTGGACAAATTTTCCTTTGATTGAAGCATGGACATAATCACCCTACATATGCAAAAAATATTGTAAGTTAAAATAATATGGTAAGTTACACAATAAATTTTCAAAAAAAGAATTATATATTATTATTAAAAAAAATAAAATAAAAGGCATACCTCTTCGTCAATTAAAACCATGTCCAAACTAATCAAACTATTATGTTTCCGAAAGTTCAATATATCAAAAAGCCTTGATACGCGTACTTTAATTTTCCAATCGTTTTTGGAAGAATTAAGTTCTCGAATCAACGAAATAGACTTAAGAAAACAATGCAATGAAAAAAATACGGAGTAGTTAAAAATAATATTATTTGTGAATACCTCATCATATTCATTGTTAATTCATAAAAAAATTTGAGTTTAAGGAATTAGACGTACATTTTCTTAAACCACAATATAAAGTCGTAAATTGCTTTGTATGAAGTATTGCGTGATTCTTTGGTGGCGCGTGGATTAAATTAATGCCTATTTATAATAATAACAAATCATAAGCTAATTAAAACAATTCATATCTTTTTCCTAACTTAAATTTTATCATTATTAAAATTGTAATCATTATTATCTTTTCCTAATTATTTTTTTTTTCCTAAATAATAATATTTGAAACATATTGACTAATAATATATCAACTATGAGCAAACTAACTTACGTTAAATTTGCTTATCATAATTAAAGGAACAAAGTCAGTAATGTTTGTTAAAAGATAATGCATGTAGGCGAAAAGGATTAATTTTTTAAGTTTTTTTTTTTTTTTTTTTTTTTTTTTTTTTTTTTTTTTTTTGAGTACATAAAGATAGATGATATATATTGTTATTTTTCACCTTGACTTTTATAATTTTATTAATATTTTCATATTTTTTAACCTATGTGGCACACATTAAATCCCAACCCTACATCGCACATTTATGTGGCGCTCTATAATTTTTTTAAATTAACAAAATCCTAGGCTCTCTACAAACGCGGGAAAAAACACCCCTTTATATATATATATTAGATTTATTGAGTATTAATTAATATTTATTATTTATTACTTATACTAATTATTATTTTTATTAAACTCTTTATTTATTAGAAATATTACTCCGATTATTTTTTTTATTATTAAGCTGAATAGAGTAGAGCAGTTCTAAAGAATATGGCATAAGCCGTACGAATATACGATTAGCCGAATATATTTTTGTGGTATAAAAAAATCGAATTTTTTATAAGGATAAAAAAAAAAGCCGGATAGATTTAGATAGATGTTAAACACTTTACTCCGTACTGTACAGACTACAAACTAACCTATTTTGCTACTTTTTTAAATGTTGTTTGGTTGGATCATTTGGAATGGGTTGGATTGACCTGTTTTGCTTCTCTTTAGGGGTTATTTGGTTGGATCATTTGGAATGGGTTAGATTGTTGAACTACAGTTATAATTCATTCAATCTAGTTTTTTATTTGGTTGAGGTTTTTTTTAGTAATGAAAATCTCATACCTAAGGGGTTCTAACCCCCTCATATTCATGGGATCCCATACCCATCTCTACCCCTAAGGGTGACATTTGGTTAGAATAATGAAAACGGCTTGAAAAAAAAACAAATAATAGGGGAGAAATGAATCATTTAACTATTACGTTTTCATTTATTTGGTTTAACTATGGAAATGAATTGCCTAGTGTTTGGGGGAAGGTAAGGGTATTTGTTACCTTAGGTTCTAGAGAAATAATAAATATATTAGTATAAAATCCTCATCCTTATGTAAAGGTAATTGTTACCAAACCTTATAAGTTATAAGCAAACATTTGGTAACGGGTAATGCTTTAGCTGAATCTGTTTCCAACCTAGAATATACACCAACCAAACATGCTATGAGAATATGAGATTCACAATCCATTTTATTACCGAGTAATTAAGTATAGATTCATTCTAACAATATAAGTATATAACAAACCAAATTAAATTAGTGTGAGTTTTAGATTCGTACCTTTCTAGTATAAGATTCTATACCAATTCATTTCAATTTGATGAATCAAACACTCCTAGTAAGTGTGGTACCATATACGGGGCGTTTGGATTGTGGGAATGGGAATTTAGGGATTAAAAGGTGGGAATGGGATTGAGAATAAATTGATGGGGATACATGAAAATATGTCAATACCTTGTTTGGATAGTGGGTGGGAATAAATAGGGAATAAATAACAATTTTACAAAAATACCCTTACTAAGATTATTATTTCATCCTTTTCATTAATGGCAAAACTGTCATTTTCCTCTATTCCCATTCCCATCCATTTATTACCTACCCTCCCTAGGTAATAAAATGATGGGAATTCACTCATAAATAATCCCATTCCCAAACTCCATTTTATTCCCATTCCCACCAAACAAACAAGACTTATGTTTTCAATTGGGATTAAAATTCCCAATCCCACCCTCAATTCCTACTTGCCAAACACCCCCATAGTGTAGTGTCATGTCGGGCCTTCGGCCTTCCTTCCCCATTCCCAAGGAATAATGCCAAGTACTGCTTCCCTGTCTGGTTGATTTAATCAACTACGAAGTACTTCTATAAGGTTAAAATCCAGTAACACTTTTGAAGCACAACATGGCAAATTCTTCATCATCACCAACATCAACCTCGACAACAGCAGTCGATAAAATGCCAGATATGGCGGCTCCTCCTTCAACTCCGTCGTCATCTGACGGTTGGATGGAGCGGATCTTCTATCCCACCCTTCTCGGAGGTCAATCTCTCTCTCTTTTCTTCCCTTTTCCCCAAACTCAAATCACCAAAACCCTAATTTTTCCGAATTTCTGTTTTCCTATTATACAGATGCTTAGTTTTAGCATTATTTCATTATTGTCAGATAAACTTGATTCTTAAGATTTATGAAGAGGAAAAATGGCTGATTTTAAATTCTCTTGCATTTTTAGGGATTGTTGGTGGAGCAGTTGGGGCGATGTCAAAGTATAGCAAAGTTCATGGCGTTGCAAATGTTTCAGCTACTTATGCTACTAATCTTGCCATTGTTGCCGGCTGTTATTGTGGTATTGTTCTTTAATATAAGTATCATTATATTCAATTCTTAATTTTGACTTGATTGATCACTTGATTATAGTAAATGGTAATCGTTTTCAGTATTAATTGATTTTGATCTGTTCTTTAAGTATTAAATTTCATGGCACTAATGACTATGCAGTGTCTCTTGGATTGTATGGATGGAATTCTTGTTGCTATATGTCTAATCTTGTTCTTGATATGCAAAAGATGTTCTTGGAGTTGCATAGTTATTTGGGGATTTTTATAGTAAACTATATCTAATTTGTGATTAAAGAGAAACGAACCGTACCAAATTTCTAGGGTAGACAATTTGAATCACAAGGACTTCTTTTGATCAAAATCTTGATCCTTACACCATTTGGACTATCAGCTTGCTTTTGACTAAAGTGTAATGGTCAATCCATTACTGTTGGGTAGTCCATTAAGCCTGCCAATATTTGCAGTCTGAGTGTAGCATTAGATCATTGAAGTTAAGATTCTTGGCTAGGGTTAAGTATCGCTTTCATCATAAGCCTTGTTTGCATTCGAACAAATCTACCTATGAGCTATAAGTGCCGGGTGGCAATATCTATCTAAAACGTAGGCCTAGGCTCTCCAAGTTTTGAGATTGATGAGATTGCGAAATCTATAGTAATATATTAAAAGGAGTTACTAACAAAGTTTATGTGCCACGTAGACCCTTTCACTTACGCCACGTCACTTATTCAATTTCTCATTATGCGTCACCTACCAAACATCTCATTATGTCATATCACCACTCAATCAACTTTAATCATTATGCCACTTTAGTACATCAGTATTACTCCCTATAAAAAATAAGGATAAAGAGATTCGAACACCCAATCCCTTATTAATAAGATGATAATTTAACCATCTAAGCAAATTAGCAACCATGTTATAAATATGAAAGTAAATTTATATAATTGCAAATCACAATGACTAATAATAAAAAGGTAAAAAAAAACTCCAAAAATATTAAAAACATATAATCACAAGGTTTAATTAAAGTGACAACCCAGTGCAACACCCGGGCTACACACTAGTTTGCCTTTGAAAGTCAACCTTTGCACTTGCCAAATACCCTTGGACCTTCTTTTAATGAGGTTTGACCCTTGCTTATTGTTTGCTCGTGTGAGGAGTTGAAGGTCAAATTGTTTGTGGTTTAGGAAATTAATAATTGCTTTTTGTTAAATAGAAGATTTTCCTGCTCCTAAGAAACTCGACTTAAGTTTTTGAGCATTTTAAGGCAAACACTAACCTGAGATAGTGAAGCCATAAAGGTTGGAGTTCAACGGGACTAATACTTGAGCCCGAGTCAAATACTTTCAATGTTACAATTCTTGAGGAAAGTCCTATGCCTTGCATAAATGCTGATGTAGATTGGAGAAGAGTTGTTGCTTAAAACTTTCAAGGGGGAGGGGCAAGCACAGAAGGGTTTGGTGTTTTAAGTTGCCCAAATTAGTTGGAGGATCTGTGGTTAACTGCTCAAGGTGATGAGGAGTCACTTTGCAAAAAAAAGTGTGGGGATATCAAAACTTTCAGGGTGGAGGGGCAAGGCTATAAGAGTTTGGTGTTTTAAGCTGGCCAAACTAGTTTGAGAATCTGTGGGCTGTGGCTAATTGTTCAAGATGATGATTCATTTTGTAAAAATATGAGGGAATATTATGTTCGTGCCCTTGGCGGCAGCGGTGGTGGTGGGGGGAGGGGGGTGTAAAGAAGACTCTTGGCATTTCAGTAACAGAATATAGGGCTTTAACATTCCTAAGTGTAAAATCTGACAAGGCTTATGACTTACGAGACTAACATTATAGGATTTAGTTTATGGCTTGGACTTGTTTTATCAAACGTGAGAAACGACATGTGCTTGCCCTTGTCTTCCTATTATGATAGTTTTATTTTGGTTAAACTCACGGGGAATTTCGCTCATATCATTTATTGGTTGTATGCTGTCTCTTTTCCATAGACATTAACCTAATTTTATTCTATTTGAAATCTTAAAACTGTCCTTAAGCTCCCCGAGTGCACATTGTGATGTTGAAATGCTATTTGCTGCCATACTGTGTGAAAATGACATTCTATGTACGGAGTATATAGTTTTAACTGAGCATTTTGATTTTTGACTTGCAGGAGCTCGTGAGTTTACGAGAGTAACTCGAAAATCTGAACCTGGTGATCTTATCGACTCTGCTATTGGAGGATTTTGTAGTGGAGCACTTCTTGGCCGCCTCCAAGGTTAGTATTTTTCTAGAGTAATTAAGGAATAGGGAAAGAAAGAGGAAGCATGTAACTGGAGGAAAATAAACTGTTGGAAGTTTTTAGTTTTTCCTGTTGTCTCAGCTCATAAGTGGTCTTAAGACTTAGCGTGTAAATTGAAAGCATAATCTGTGTGTATGTCTTTGTCCAAATGCTTTAAGGATCACGATGTTTTCCTTGTAAAGATTTTCAAACACTTAATTTCTGCCATGAAACAATAGATGCAACTTATGTTACTCAACACAGGTATGATTGTTGGATGTGGTTGTGTGCTTAATTTCTGCCATGAAACAATAGATGCAACTTATGTTACTTAAGTGTTGACGTGCCAATGATTACTATTTTGGACGTGGGAGGGCCTGTTCTAGAATTAGACAAACTTTGAAGATTTCAAATGTCTTTTACATTATAAGTACATATCCACAAATTTCGGGCTGATGTATTTGCTGTCTCTTATTGAATTATCATGTCATGCCCACTTTTGAGCATACACTACTCCACTTTCCTCCAATATAATAGTGTCGGGTAAGGATTGTTTACCCTTATAGTGGTGTTGAGTGTCCGATGCAAGTACTTTAGATAGATATATGAGTCGAAGTGACAGTGCAACCTATAAACATTTCGTGCAGACCAACTTAGCATCGTGGTCTCTCTATTCACCAGGTAACAATTTTCTTTTGCGTCAAACAAGTCAAATTGCAAATGGTGCATTGCAATTTATAGCCTTTCTTATCTGCCTGTGGCGTCATATTCAGAGAAGCATGCTTGGAAACCTCTAGTCCTACAAAGTATTTTATTAGGAGTATAAAGATGGCAATTGGTTTGCAGTTATCTCCGTTAACTTCCAAATGCAAAAATTCTGCACATAATTCAGTTTCTCTTGCTGTTGAAGGTAGGGGTGGCAATTCGGGTCAGCAGGTCGGGTTCGGGTCAGATTTCGGGTCGATTTCGGGTTATGCTTAGAAACTATTAAAAATAGTGTAAAACTTAATATTATTACGAAATATGAAATTTGGGTCAAATCGGGTCGAATTCGGGTTGTTCGGGTTCGGTTCAGGTCGGGTTCGGGTCTCTCTCAGTAACTTCGGGTCGGGTTCGGGTCGGGTTTTCGTGTCGGGTCAGGGTTTGCCAGCCCTAGTTGAAGGTTTATACATGGCATCCCTTGAGGATTATGTATTTACATCTTGTGGCATATGTATTTTTCGCTTATATTATAGACGGTGAATTAGTAATTACCATTAAAAAGTGAATTTCTAAATAGTTCCTGAAACCAAGCTTGCTCTGTTAGAGTGCATTGCTTTTTAGAAACAGGTGCAAGGGGTAGGGGTTGAGGGGGTGAATAACCATTATTTGTTTAACTACATACCTTTGTATTGTTTCCTTACAGGTGGCCAACGTGGGGCTGTTCGTTACTCTATCATGTTTGCTATTGCTGGAACGGCAGTTGACTACACTACACTTAAACTGCAACCACTGGTGAAGAGTTACTATGATTCATTGCTTGGTAGCGACTTGAAATTGCCTGAGTGGTCTCCCATCCGGATACTTGATGAAGAAGAACTGGCTGCTAAACGAGCTCGTGAAGAACAACTACATGCTCAAAGTGCCATAACTATGAAGGGCAAAGAATCTTAAATTAAGTTTTTTACTTCTAATTTTTGATAGTCATATTATAAATTTCCAATTTGAAGGGCATTAATGAAGTCTTACGACTTCATTTCAGCCAAAAAAGGAAGTACAGACTGTAAAATTGAGTTCTTTTTTGTTAGTGGTCTCCTGCAATTTTCCGCCTGTAATATATCTGGGTTAAAGATGTGATGGGTTGCATGTTCGATTGAATAACGCCAGAACCTGGAATCAGGAGATCTAGAGTCACTGATATGCGCCTTTTTGCTCATTGTATGAATGGTCTTGCACTAAATTTGTAGCTTCAGCTTGTATCAGCTCGGAATTGACTTGTTAAATTGGGTTTAGCCAACCCATATACCTCAGCAAAAGCTTGGAGTGTCCTCCTTTTTGAGTTTTTTTTTTTTTTTTTTTTTTTTTTTGAGGCAAGTTTATTAGTTACACAAGTATATATAAATGTAAACAATACCCTGAGTCCCTGAAGGCCTGAATTCCCCTTAAATGATTTTTTGGTTGAGCTGCTTTTGATTTCCCTCCTTCCTTCTCTTGAAGCTCCACAAAACCCTCTAGCATAAATAACGAGTTCCATCAATGTAGTAGTGTTTCACACAAAGTATATACTACGTATTTAACACGTACATCACTTACCGTGTGAAATTGTGATTGCAATGCAGGATGTTTTTTGCTATAAAAAATAAATAAATTAAACCGCAATTAAATATACAGCAATATGTGTTAAAACCTTAAAATTAATACATTGGTTCATTTTTTTAATGATTATCTAAGTGAATTAATAAGTACTACGTGCAAGGATAAATAAAGCTCACCATCAACTATGAAGAGTAAGTTCATTACAAGCATAGGTGCAATCCTATTTAACTTAACTGACTTGATTACTTGACCCATATATTCTTACCGTTTGCAAAAATAATCCCTAAAATTCATACGTATTAGACTATTAGTATATTACATTAAGCATTAGCCTTATATAATCACGTTTTTTTTTTAACGAATATCAATTATCAGCTTTGTGGCTCTCTAAACAAAAAAATAAAAAATAAATACCATTGTTATTTCGCTAAAAATATTTAGGTAATGACATATGTAGCCCTTAAGACTATATAAATAAGCATTAAATACACTTTTTAAAATGGAATTCAGTTGGAAATTCATGAAAAAAATTACCCGCATATCGGTATTATTAATGTTAATTTATCCTCAATATATCCTTATTTAGCTTAAAGCATCCACAATGGTTGTGCATAAAGCCTTGCTTGCTAGCTACATGTTAGCCATTGTAGAGCTACAACCATTTGTACCTAAGACTAGAGCTGTCAATTCGGGTAAATGGGTCGGGTTTGAGTCGGGTTAGTGTGGGTCGGGTCATCTCGGGTTGGGTCAGTACGGGTTAATGTCGGGACCTATGTGGGTCGGGTTCGGGTTGGGTCATGCTTGCGTCGGGTCACGTCGGGTCATACATCTTATTGGGTTTGGGTCGGGTTTAGGTCGGGTCAATAAAAGGTCGGGTTACATTCGGGTCAGGTGAAAAATAGGTCGGGTTACATTCGGGTTTTTACGGGTTTAAACGAGTTAGGGTCCTGTTTGGGTTCGAGTCGGGTTCGGTTCAAGTCAATTATTTGCGGGTTATAATCAGGTCGGGTCATTATCGGATTCGGTTCAAGTCAATAATTTGCGGGTTATAATCACGTCGGGTCATTTCCTAGTCGGGTCATTCTCGGGTTCGAGTCGGGTTCGGTTCAAGTCAATAATTTTTTTTTTAAAGCTCCAAATCAAATTGCATAATTTAAAACATTTTTAAAAATATTATAATAAACAAGTGAATACTAAAATTTGAAAAAACTGATCAATAAAAGGATTATAAATAGTTATATGGAAGTTTATTTTGAAGATAAATTTAGAAAAAAAAAAAAAAAAAAATTAGCTGATTTAATTAGACAAAATCACTATCATCGATTCACCTCACTCACCTCATATAGCCTCAAATACGTTTAAATTCAGGTTAGTAATAGGTCGAGTTTAATTTCGATCGGGGCAATAACAAGTCGGGTTGAATTTGGGTCGGATCAATAACAAGTCGGGTTGATTTCGGGTCGAGTTTGTAACAGGTCGGGTTTAAATTCGAGTCGGGTTAGGAACGGGTCGGGTTGACCTCGGGTCGGCTTAGTAACAGGTCGGGTTGAATTCTGGTTTTGACGGGTTAAATCGGGTTTGGGTCATTCTCGGGTTCGAGTCGGGTTCGGTTCAGGTCAATAATTTATGGGTCACATTCGGGTCGGGTCCTCTCTAGGTCGGGTTATGGTCGGGTTCGGGTTCGGGTCTCAAATACTCGGGTCAACTCGGGTCTAGGGTTGGTTTCAGCTCGGGTTAGGTCGGGTTCGGGTCACCATTTTTTTCGGGCTCAGACAGGTTAGGGTCGGTATTTCGGGTCGAGTCAGCTTTTGACAGCTCTACCTAAGACAAACTACATAGCTCACCCAACACACATATATTGATTACTTTAATATTTTTTAGGTATTTTTTTAAAAAATTTAATTCATTAAAAAAGAATGTAGCTTACAATTGTAGAGGTTGTAGCTTAAATCTTGTATTTTGGAGATTAATGATGTGACAACCCAAAACTACATGTACATATATGTAGATGTAGCTAGTCATTACTCGGTAACTCATTTATAGATACTTTTAAGGGTTATATTTATCATTTTTCAAAATACTTTGTCCAATTTTTATTTATTTATCTTTGTTTTTTTTTTTTTGGAATTAATTGTTCTACTCCGTAGTTCGTAGTAGATTTTTTTCCCAATACGCAGTCGCTCTATACGGCTGCACTCATCCTCCATCCAAAAACTCAAGACCTGCAGATCAACTAAAACGCCGTATCTCCACTTTCCCGCACCTTCTTCCAACCATCGAATAACAGAGTTTCAAACAATTGGCGAAGAAGGAGGAACACACCAAAGTTTTCTCTCCGCTCAACTCTCTCATTCTCGCTAGTGTTTGTTCCGCCATTAGAGGATGACGGAGGTGGCGAGCTCGGTAGTACACGAAGTGTTGGGAAGACGAGCCGAAGACATAGACCAACCTATTATTGATTACATCGTCAATGTCCTCGCCGACGAAGATTTCGATTTCGGCGCCGAAGGTGACGGCGTTTACGACGCACTCGGCGAGCTCCTTGTCGATTCTGGCGCCGTTACTGATTTCTCTGAGTGCCGCTCTGTAATTTTCTCTCTCTTTTATTCTATTGCTTTATTTGTTTGATTATTATGATGTTGATTATGACTTAATTTGACAGTTTGTATTGATAGTAATTGTTAGTTGATTATGATGTTAGGGTATTAGAGATTGGAGGTGGTTTGTTATTGGATTCTTGTGATTTTAATTATATTGGGACTAAAGTTTTGATTTTTCAGTATTATGTGATCTAGGATTAGGGTTTACTGTTAGGTTTATATTAATTCGGCTTAAGAGAATGTATGGACTACTCAAAATAAGCATAATAAAGTATCTAGGAGAGGACAATGAATTTGTTGATATGCAAAGGGATTTTTATAGTGAAGTCTTGTGTCTTGTAAGGCTTCCTGCTGTAATTTGCTGTTACCTTTCTTGCCTTTTGAATAACATTTGCATTCCAAGCTTCACTTTGCCATATTGCCATGTCATACCATTCAAATCCTTTTGTTGGGTAAGAGAGGGAAGGACAGGTGAGGTGAGCTTTTTGTTTTTTTTTCGATCAAACTTCCATAGGTGATAGGTTTACTTACTGCTAGCTGTTTTAGGTGAACGATATACATAATCCATTAAGGTTTAAAAGTGTTACTCTTATCAAATGCGACTATTTTTATAAGTTGTTACACTTTCATTTTTGGCAAACCCTTTGTATAACAAAGAGGCACTAGGCAATAAAGGTAGAGTGCCTTTTTTGCTCTAGGCGAGGCACATTTAAAGCGGCTCACCAGAGGTGCACATATGCAGTTTTCATTAACTTCTTTTTATATTGTGTGCCTCACTTCCAAGAGGCAAAGTGCACCAAAGCGCACTCAGGCGTAGCAGGATCTTCATCGCCTCATTGCCCTCGAACCTTTTTATACATTGGGCAAACCTTTACGTATTCATCTCTTTCCTCTCATGATCCCCACCCAAACCCGTTACTACTTTTTTATTATTATTTCTCCTTTTATATTCTTTACTTTTCAATAAACTATTACCTCCACTATGGAGGTATTTGGTAAAGAGCTTATGGGGCATTATTGGCTTATTTGACCAAATTGACCGCTAGATAAGTTAATTTGAAGTGTTTGGTGGAGAGCTGATTCAAAAAATTTATTTCATTAAATAAGCTCTTTTTCAATAAGTAATTTTAAAGAACCTTTTATTAGTTGTTTTAAATTTTTTAGGTGAAATTATACTTATACCCCCATTTAGTCTGAAACCCGAATTCAACTACCTACCCACAATTAGCTTATTAGCCATTTTGCATTCACAAATAGCTTTAAGCAATCAATTATTTACCAAATTCTTTATGTAAACGTTTAATACAATACGCTAGTCAAAATTAGCTAACATAATCAGTTCAACTTTTAGCTTTTTACCGTACACGACCTATAGTTTTCATGGTTTTGTAATACTCTAACTACCCCACTTACATTTAATTATGTTCAAGTCAATTAAATTTACTTAAACTATGTGCCGATCAAATTGTAACATTTTTTTTTTTAATTTTTTTAAAATAGAGGGAATATCGATATCTTAAATCTGTTGTGTTATGATGAAACCTATTTGATTTTTTTTTTTTTTTTTTTTTTTTTTGTATATTGGCAATCTTGACAGGTGTGTAGCATATTATGTGATAAATTTGGGAAACATGGATTAGTTAAGCCAAAGCCAACTGTAAGAAGTCTAGCAGCACCAGTAAGGATGTTTGATGGGATGGACGAAGATGTCATGCCAAAAAAAAAGGTCGAGGAGGTAGATGGCCCTCTATTGACTGAGCGTGACAAAATGAAGATTGAGAGGAAGAAGAGGAAGGACGAACGTCAAAGAGAGGTAAATTCAATGCTTTCTTACAAGGTTGTTTGTCACAAGTCTTAATTTGTTTATTTACTTGTGTCCCGCTTAAACAACTTCAAGCTTATTGGTTTGGAACAGCAAATTGGATGCTTCCTGGACTAGTATATATTTATTGTTTGACTGGTGTCAGATTGCTAGGAGTGTATGTAATATGCCATTCTGAGTTGCTTGGTGGGGGGTTATCTAATCATCGAGGCACAAATGAAAGCATCACAATATATTCAGTATTATAACTCTCCCTCTGTCCTCAAATATCTTCATATTAGGTTTCAACACACTTATTTAGGATTTAGTAGGGTGGGGTGAGAGTGTGAGAGAAAGTGAGTTAGTGGATGGGTTTACTTCGCATGATATGTGAAAACTTTTCCATCTTAAGTAGCATGAAGTTTTTTTGTAATGTAAGCAGGTTATCTGTAGACAGAGAGAGATATAATGGATCAAATCAAAT